GGGGTCTACCTTATCTCGGGATAAACATTATACGGAACTCAGGAGCTGCCGGTGCAGTAAACTAATGCACCTTATCACGGGGTTTACCTTATACCGAGTTACCTTATTTCGGGGGCAGACTGTATTAGGTCTCATATGAATTTAAAGATTTTTCATCGCTCGCGACTAAAGTATAAAAGTGAAGCAATGAAAAAACTTTAAATTCATAAGCAATCCGTAATCCTTGGTTTATTTTCCTACCACAGATATGCACACATTAGTCCAATTATTACATAACACTTGGGGACAGCCTAATTATCAAATGAAATGTTGGCAATTGGTCCAGGCACGGCCCTCGGGCTGATTCAAGCCTATCGTGGTGTCGTGAACCACGCGTAGGTTTAGGGGGCACGTCTCACCCAGGTAGCACATCCTACCCTCGGCGCACGGCGTCCGGTACGCGCACTCCATAAACTCAGCGCTACACTCGCTGACAGGCCCACCACCGGTCAAATGGTCCTTGATGAACTCCTCCCACATGAGCCTGGTGTTTACGCTCAGGGTATCCCATAGGGCGCCGCCCGGGTTCATTTCCCGTCCGTTGATCGTGTTGCGCAACCAGCCCATGCACCGGGTCTGCCTCACCTCCCACTCCTTCCGGTGCGACCCCTTTTCGCCCGGTATATGCCCGAGGCATTGCTCGCCTAAGGGGCCCTCCCCTCGGCCCAGGTCGTAGAGTAGAGACTTCATTGTGTCCCTATCTTTTAACGGGTTTGGGGGGCACACGGCATCGACCAGGCAGTCAACAAAGGGTGCCCCACACGTACGACCTAAATGGTATAACTTGGTCAGTTGTTTGATTAAGGGCACACACCTCCCGCTATAGTATTCCACGTTTCTCGTCAAATAAGACCCGAGTTTATCATGAGCACCCGTAGCCACCTGTCTCAAACACGCAACTTGGTCCACGTCCACGTGACCTCTCGCAGGACTCCTGGCCCTGTAGGGCGACCTGTGGCCAGCCATTTGTCCCCCATATATGGGTCCCGAAAGTGTGATTATTAGCACGTAGTTTAATAGTGAGCTCATTATATTAGGCGGTGTTTGTGTGTGTAATGGAGTATATTTTGGTGAAAATATGTTTTGTGAAAAAATATTAATTTAAAAAATCTATTACATAATTTTTTAGAAAATGCTATTGGACAGTATGGCAATTTTTTTTGTAATTAAAAGTACCGTAGATGTTTTAAATTATATGTAATTAAATTCCGTGTGTAAGGATTTTATGATTACTTTGTAAAATAAAAATTTCACACAAGGGTATTAACTTTATAGTAACAGATATTTTACTCTGTTCTCTCTCTCCCCTTCCCTTCGGAATAAGTAAAACTAAATAAAAGTGTTTTTTGTAAAAACTAATTAATCCCTAGTCATTTATGAGTAATATATTTCTCAGGAATTTGCATAATTATTTGCTATTAGTCTATTTTACTGAAGAATTAACTACAATTGAAAACTAATTTCATAGCAAACTATAATAAGCTTAATATGTTTAATAAACTTATTGAATAAAAGACATGTTTTGTATTATATTTGTAATTAACATCTCACTCAATACTATTATCTTATAATTGGGGAATCATCCAAAAGGCCTAAACTTAAATAACTAACTTACCAATGGTCATTTGACTTAATTTAGGTTAAGTTAGGTTTGGTCAATACACGTCTATTCCACCTATCTAATTAAAATGGTGTCCACGGTCAGTTAGTTATTTGAGTTTAGACCTTTTCGGTTATAGGCCTTTTGAGGTAGAACCTATAATTGTTATGAAAAAATGAAACAATTATCACTTATTTTAATTTTTATTACAAGTTTACAAAGTTTAATAAAAATATATAATAATATGCATATCGGTTTAATTAGGGTACCCCCGGTGCTCATCAAATAAACTGATTGCACGTGGTCCAGGCAATGCCCGCGAGAGTTTGCAAGGCGTTCACGGTGTCAACGACTTTGCGCTCGTCTCCATGCCTACCCTTACCCTCTTTGCACGCCGTGTCGTACACGCACTCCATGAACCTGTGACTGCAGTTTTTACCGCTGTGCCCACCGGTCAAATAGTCCCCGAGCACACGCTCGCACGTGAGCTTGCTACTTTGACGTAGCTCATTCAATAAGCTGGTGCCGGTTTCGGGCATCAATCGTGTTGCGCAGATAGCGCGCGCACACCGGCTTCCTCGCCTCCCAGTCCCTCTGGTTTACCGCATCGACCCCTAAATGGCTGAAGCATTGGTCGCTAAAAAGACCCCTTCCGTTGGACAGTTGGTTGAAGAGGTTGGTCAGTGTTGTGGCATTTCTGTGAGGGTTTGGCGGGCATATGGCGCCGACCACGCAGGCAACAAAGTCAGGCCCGCACAGGCGGTTCAAATCGTGAAAATTGAGCGCGGTTGTCGAAACTCCCTTGCACCGTTTAGCATCCCGTTTAGTATTAGGATTACTCTTCAAAAAGGAGCCGAATCTCCCAGCATTAGAGCCCACATGACTCAGACACTGACCTGGGTCAACTTGGCTGTTCATGCCTTTTTTAACCCGTATGGCCAGCCCGTGGCCAGCCATGTATGACCCATATATGGGCCCTAAAATGGTAGATATGAATACAAAGTGTAATAATAATAATAACTTCATTATATAGAGTAGCAAACTATCGCAGTAATGGAGGTATGTTTGAGTGAAAATATGTTTTGTTTGGATAAAATATTAATTAACAAAATTAACTATAACATAATTATATTTTAGAAAATGCTATTGGGCAATGTGGCAATTTTTTGTAATTAAAAATAGATTTTTAAAAATTATATCTAATTAAAATGTGTGTGTGAGGATTTTATTATTACTTTATAAAATAGCTATCTTACACATGGTTTTAATTTGTAGTAACAGATACTCTCTCTCTCTCTCCCTCTCAACACAATCGTAAATAAGATATTTAGAGAGAGAGAGAGAGAGAGAGAGAGAGAGAGAGCATATGAAGCAAATAAATAAGCATTTTTGAGTTGACCTAAAAGTCGGACACACATTGTCTTCCCTATCATCAGTCAAATTGATGGCAACTTTCAACAACAAAAACTTTACCATCACTTTCACGGCTTACGAGCGCCTGGAGTCATACGGATTATTGCCTCCGGGGGCTCACCTATGCTCTGATTTTTACCACTAGCTATGTATGCGAAGACTTAAATGTCAAATAAAGTTTACATTTGCATAGTTTGGGAGTAAAAATAAAATTTTTGTTAATGAAACGGAAGGCTAAAGCACTGGTAGTTAAGTCTGGAAATGTGTGCATAATCTGCGAGAGTGTTGGTAATGATGTGATAGTAATCGCTATAATGGTGTGAATCGCTATTAAATGTTGAAAAGTCATTACATAGACATTAATTAGTCAATTGAGTAAAAGTGCCTTAAAGTGCATATTAATTGGATATTAAATCTGACCCGTGTGATTTAGTTATTTCTATGGTAGATATTTAGTATGCGTGATTTACGTAATGATTGTGGGTTATTTTTAAAGTGATCAAGGATATATTTGAAATTTTATAATACAGTAAATTTTGATAAAGTATAATATATTTATTGTAGAATTAATGTCAGTATAACTTATGTACTGTTAATTAGTAGTCTCTCTCTCTCTCTCTCTCACTCACTCACTATAATATTCTCAGAAAATAATCCATCAATTGATTAGACATTTGATCCCAAAATGAAGTTCAATACAAACGACCATAAGATACATACAACTAGTGTTGCATTAGTTTCGAGGTTTTCCATTAAAAAGATACAGAAATACGACAAACATTTCGACAAAACCTGTGGTTCAGGTGATTGGCCGATGAAACAGACATTGAGACCATTGAATCGCAACTGACTTCAGTGTAATCCTTGGTTCACCTCAATAGCTATGGCTGAAAGCTGTGCCCGATAGAAATGGTAGTTTAGGAGTTCCTGTCCAGAGGTGGAAGGCTCCCGGAACAGGCGAACAGTTGGAGATAGAAATGAGCAAGACCAATTTTATTATGTTCTAGGACCTATAATTTATTATATTCCTAATAGTTTGGTTTATTTATGATAATTAGGTTTGTATTTTAAATTACAACAATTATTGACTAAATTAGTAGCATTTAGATCCATCTATTTGTTAAATAATTTTTAAAGTAACTTGCTAATTAATCGCTAAATGGGCATAAAATAAAACTAACAAAAGTGGGCAAAACACGTATGTATCTGTAATGGTGTGATTCTTCAAAGAGAGATCTTTTTGCATTAACAAATGCACCAAGATCCTTTTGTGAGCATAATTTCATTTGTATGCATAGATGGCCATGTTCAATCCAAGCTGAGTGGTATTGCACCACATGTTTGGACTTTAAATCAAATGCCTTCTGGATATCATCCACAAAAGCAGCCATGTCCTTTATGGCTAGATAAGTTAATTGAATGGAATACATATTTAAGCAATATAGTTTGACATGTAATTATATTGTACTAGTAATAAATATAATTACTTACAACAAAAGCGTATGTTCATTTTGAATAATGAATACTTTTGCTTAGAAACTGAATGTTTGGTTTTATATATTGTAATCTTGGATAATTTAACTTGTTCACCAATTTGTATTAACATCGATTCATTTACTGCATTGGGTTTAAGTGTCTCTGAAAATTTACATTAATTACAATACTGTTTATATAGAGTTTAATAAATAATTAAAAATGTCTAACTTTTTACGTATTCCTTAGACATTCCGATTATACAAAAGGGTTTAGTTCTCATCAGTAATTTGTACATAATATCATATTTTGTGTCAATCATAGCATCAAATAGTGAATTGAATTCTTTGTCTCCAATAATGGGTTTATTTGTGATAAATGTCTGCAATTGTGATAAAATGTGCGAACATTCGGGTCTTTGCCTCCAATCTGTTGAACCGTTTTTACTCCACTTACTGACACTCATTGACACCAATAATGCATTCATTTTATGCATTAATTCAGAAATAGTTTTATTGTCTTTTTCTATCTCATTAATCCTAAAAAACAAAAAATTTATTCATATTTTAAAATATATCTCATATTATTATTACCCGTAAATATTTATAAAAAATCAAAACATACTTTCCGTCGACTATATCGTATGTATCGAAACGAAAAATTTGAGCCCCAATTAGGGATAGACTGTAGATATCTATCAAATGGTTGTAATCATTAGTCTGGGCTTCTGGTGCTTGATATATGCCTGGGGCACCGACATCTGATGTATGTTTAGCATTAGTCATACGAAACGGATCACAATTTGGGACCTCTTTAGCCAAACCAAAGTCACATAACTTTATGTTATAGTGCATTGAAATCAACACATTATCCGGTTTAAGGTCTCTATGAATGATATTATTTTGATGCAAATATTGCACACATTTTGTGAGTTCCCAAAACATTTGATACGATATATAAAACTCTGTATTAGTCATCAATCCATTGAACAATAATTTCTTAGTTTCCAAAACATTGTTAAGATTATTGATACATAACTCCATTTGAAAGTAAAGACAATTGCATTCAATCCATGAATAGTAGTATTGAATCACAAACTCAGACCATTGCGACCGAAGTTTCACAAGACTTTGCGTTTCATTCAAAACATTTTGTTTCTCTTTTTCAGACAATTCTTTAGAAAAAACAAATATAAAAATGATTATAACTTTTGGATATAACTAAAAATATTTACCATTTAATTGACATTTCTTAATTGCATAGAGTTTATGGTCACATTTATTTCGAACTTTATATACCTGTCCATATCCACCCTCACCAAGCTTGGTTATTACATCAAATGAATATTCAAACGAAATTGAATTATTCAACTTATCGTGAGTTTCTATAATAAAACATAATAATAGTAATCAATTCAATGTACAGAAGATTAAGGCGACAATTAAGACATTATTTTCATATTTACCACAAATGTGTGTAATTTGTTGAATATGTGGTGAAATGGTATTTAAAGTGATTTTCCACTCATTTGTAATATAATCATCAATTGATGTATAATTGGTTTCAAACAGGTTTTCGTCAATAATTTCATATATTTTATCACCAGATTTTCCCACAATTGTTAAATCATGATCTTTATAAAATATTACATTTAACAAATTTTTTTGCTTGATTTCATTGAACACAAAATGTGATAATATTTTCATACATTTATTATGAAAGTCATATATATATAATTGACCATGGGTGGATAACAAATATATATAGAAACTTTTTACTAAAAGTGCATTTTGTATGTTAATTGCATTTTCTAATATATTTGGTGTTTTTATTATATTCTTATCTACCTGTCCCCATATAAGAACCTGTCCCTTACGGGTAATGGCAAGTGATGTCAGACGATTGCACACAATTTTACTAATTTGATATTCAATGGCAAACTTAATATGAGCTGGATCTATTTGAAACCTTTGTTCACCACAACCAACCTGTCCCTCGTCATTACACCCCCACCCGAATACCTGTCCATTTGATGTCAACACAGTTGTATGTCTCTCACCACAACTTATTTGTGAAATAATTAAATTGTTTGTTTGGAAATATAATATAGTATACGGTTTATGGAATACATTCCAATCCCTATCCACACCCCGTCCCAATTGTCCCTCATTATTGCGACCAAAACTGAATATCACATTATTATCCGTATTGACAGCCAATACAAAGTGATATCCGTTGATAAACTGATGTATATTTTTATGGCATAATTGTGGCACTCGTTGTGGTGTATGAATGGGTGTGTTGTGTCCTAACCCGAGCGTACCCCCCCTTCCCCCCTATTAGATCCCAAACCATAAACAATATCATTAAATGTCACAAACAGTATGTTATATCCCCTCACGTCATCGAAAATATAAAATAATTTAATTTCTTGTTTTAAATTTTCGGATATTTTATCACAAATTTTATAATTATTTAAAACGGAAGTCATAATAATAATAATAATAATAATAAATATTAAACAATGATTTATGAGGTTTCATCACAAAATTATTGATCAAATCATTATAATCAGAATAATTACTACAGAATAGTAAACAATAATTATTTAACAATATGGCGAAATAGTTATACATTTATTGTCACTAAAGTATTATATCGTAAATACTATCACATAAAACATATTCGTAACTGTATTGAGGCAAACAAATGACTGATTATTGCTAAGCATTAGTTTATGTGAATTGTGATCATATTTTTGATAAGCAATTAAACAATACTACCGTAATATATCCCTAATTTTCTCTACATTTATAATATATTGTAATATCTTACCAGATATTCCGGGCCATATCTCCCATTTACTGTGAAGCCCTCCCACAAACCCCTAACCTATAGAAAAATTCTTTTACTTGTATAACACTATGTAAACCTAATACTGAGGCGAGTTGTACTGTAGCCCTGAAAGTGCTAACTTCAAGGGTTTATATCTGTAATGTGTGTCCAATAAAACATTTATTCTTGAATTCGTGGTAATTATTTAATAATAATAATAAAATTCGTACAACCCCCCTACTCACCGGTAATATAGAAGATTGCGGGGTAATTTCCATATTACAATATTATATATATTTTATTATAGATCACAATATGATCTCATGTAGTCTACTGAATAAGTTATTTATAAAATTATAAATTATTAAAAAGTAAGACTAATGTCTCAAAAAACGGCAAACACTTGGACTCCGATTGACTATAAAACCAAATACACATAACTTAAGCGACAAAAATAATTCAAAAATCATTTGCAAAATGAAAAAATGAAAATTTATTTCACATTTCATTAACTCTTACAAAAAAAAATTCAAAACAATTAACTAATTTGTAACCACAATTAATTAGAAAATTGTGGTACTTATGTATATAAAGTAATAGATCCTGATCTAAGCTATAATTTGTGACACTATTTGTCATTAAATTGAAATTAATTTTAAAGTTATTTAAAACGGAATGTCCATTTTTTAACTGTTACCAAATATTTTTAACTAGCACAGCTGTAATCTATAATTAGAGCTTATAAAGAATATCGCAAAACAATATTCCACTCGAATCGGAATATTCTGTAAAATCCAATTCTTATCTATCAAATAGCATATATTGTAAATGGCATGTATTATTTAAAATAGTTGATTACAAGTTTAACAGTGATAAATATTATCTGTATTCAAAATGCAATATAAAATGAATATTATTTATGTTAATATTACCGTAGTAACATTAAACGTAAAAACATTAAATATTTCACATAAAAACATGAATCTTTTACTATCAATAGATTTAAATTAAAAATTAGTGATATATTTATTGCATTTATTATTTAAAATATACAATAATATCTGTTTTGTAAATGATAAGAATTAGATTTTACAGAATATTCCGATTCTAATGGAATATTGTTTTGCGATATTCTATATGAGCGCTAATTATAGAACACATCTATACTAGGTCAAGAATATTTGGTAACAGTTAAAAAAGGACATCCCGGTTAAGTTTTAAAATCCATTTTTCTTTAATTGATTGTTTCTGAATGGAAAGTATCCATAAAAGAAGTTATGTTACGTTTTGTTAGTTATAATTATATGATTAATTTATTTCCCGATGATAGATTTTTTTGCTTTAATAAATGCATCCAGATTCTCTCTTGAACATAATTCCATTTTTATGTATAGTTTGCCATGTTGAATCCAAGCAGTGTGGTATCGCACCACATGTTTGGACTTTAAATCAAATGACTTTCTGGTATCAGCCACTATAGGGGCCATGTCCTCTATACCTGAATATTTTAAATGAATGGGAAACATATTTAAACAATATAGTTTGACATGCAATTATGATAACATTATAATAAATATACTGGTACATTTCTTACATAAGGGTACATCCAATGTGACTAATAAATACTTTTCTGGAGAAAATTTTCGGCCGATTTTATATATTGTAAATTTAGATTTTGTTGTAAATCTTGGTGCAAATATCAAGTCTTTAATCGAATTATATATTCTAGATAGTTTAAGTGTCACTGAAAATTAAAATAAATTTAATAAGTTTTATGTAGGGTTTAATAAATTAAATACAAATTAAATATAGGGTGTACACTATATAAATCGCGTTTTTTAAAACGGCTGCCGCGTGCATACACTTGCATTGTTGGGATCAGTTATGCCATAGATTTTTGTCTCATCTATTACTTAATGATAATAATTATTGTCTGT